AACTTAACTAACTACTACACACACACACACACACACACACACACACACACACACACACACACACACACACACACACACACATATATATATATAATGTCAAAGTCAATTGGAAATGCTTTATTTAAAGGGAAATTTTATTATTTTTTCTTCTATTTAGACATTATAATGATTTAATATTTAATAAATTAGGAGAAAAAATGCTTCATCGACGAATCGTAGCGATTACGCCAGTACGATGTTTTCTTATTCCGCGATATTGGTTGCTTGAACACAATCGTGCCAATATTTGGGGACGTGTGAAACTGTTTATGGATTCAAAATATCCAACCAAAAAGCAGCTATTTAATGAATTTCTCTTAAATCGAAAGTACGAACAATTACAAACACGAGTATAGTAATGTTTATATACTTTACAATACCTTATAATTTTGTTAGTTATTCATAGGAATTCTTACATTATTCTTTCCGGCTTTCCTTTCAGATGGATGACATGTAAGCACAATTTAGTTAAAGATGTTATTAAACGACGTGGTCATTTTCGTAGTAATACAACGATACATGATGTACCATATTCCATCAGAATTAGTAATGAAATAGATCCAAAATTATAATTACTTCTCATATCATTTTTATCAAACTAATTTTAATACTATTTTATAAATTACTCAAGAGTATATTACATTGTGTCGTACATTTAGAAACTTATTGAAATAAAATTTTAGTAATTTTTATTATTTATCTAATATTTGAAGTTTTGTATTTGTTTAATACAATCAGATTTATATAATTAATTATTATAAAAATTGTATAAAGTTTCGTATATTCTTGTTGATCGTTAAATTTATGTATCTTTATGCTTGCCGCTGGTCCACTTTACATCTTAATCGTTTGACATCTGTAGCGTACGTTCTGCAACATCCACCAATGTAACGTACGCCAAGGTCCAGCCATTCATCAATGAATTCGTGCATAGAGGGGGCTTCTCCTTTTTTTTTCCATCCTTCAGAGACTATATATTTTTCTCCACTGTTAGGATATATCACCAACGGTATAAAATCTTCCGATTCGCCTTTATTTATCCCTTGTAATAAACTGGTAACAGATTGCGGAGCGATACAGTTAACACCAATTGCTAATATTTGTCCAGGTAATGCATCTTGGTAACATCTCACGGCAGTTTCCTGAAAGTTGTTACCATCTGCCAAGCTTTTTCCGTCGTCTCTGCAGGAGAATGATAGCCATGCACGTGTATCCGGAAATTCTTTAAGTAGATCAATTATAGCCTCCGCCTCACGAACGCAAGGTATCGTTTCTATCGCCAATAGATCGACATCTTTCTCCAGTAACGCACGTATGCGAGGTCTATGCCAATCAATTAAAAATTCTCGTGATACATGCGTACAATACGAACCAGTATACTCTGAGCCATCATGCAAACAAGCACCATAAGGTCCGCAAGATCCAGCAATCAATGGTTTTCGATTCCTCACATTTTCATTACCCTCTATTTCTTTACTGTAAATTTTCACAGCGTCTTTAGCGTAATCGACAGCTTTACGAATAATTTCAAGACTTTCTTCTTCGGTAATACCCAGATATTTTATGAAACCATCGACGGTTGCTTGATACGTATTTGTCTCTATGATATCGGCGCCGGCTCGCAAGAAGTCCAAATGAGTAGAGAAGACAGCTTTAGGTTCCGTTATGAGGAAACGTGCGGTCCACAGAGGATCACCGTCGATTTTTTCACCCACATGAGTGGACAGTTGCGTGGAAAAACCACCATCTAACACTTTTATGTCCGACATGATGATTTTGTTTTCTCGTTTTTTAGAAATTTAATTTCTTGGAATCGCATATATCCAGACTGATTTATAATAACACGAAAATTTTACTGCGACGAGTACAAGTGTATAGCTTGCATCTCGATCGCATAATGTGTCTTACGATAAATATAAGAAACTGGTTTAACGCGTGAACCTTATACACATTATAGAGATAACTATTCGGAGCAATTTATCGTTATCACGTCTACGTTTTGAATTAATCATCACCGAACTGTGTGTCGTCAACGGCGATCAAATAGATGACATGGTCATTTATTACGCGATTATTACAACTTACGCGAATGTATGAAATCTGTACTGCAGATCACTGTCATACACATTATCTGATTACTGACGCAATGCTGATGTCTTGTTAGCAGATATCTGTAAAAAATGAAATACAAAAACATCGAAGAATGTCATCTGGTAATATATACGAATGAAGAAACATTTATCTTTCTGTTCCCCCTTCTGACCGCTTGACCTCGCGAGAGAAATTTGATGCAAAGTTCAGGATGCAATCTTAAATAGATAGCATATTTTGAGCCTACGCTCATCAGAACATCAAATAATATTAAAAGAAAACAAATAGTTTTCATCTAATAGGTTTTAAAAATTATTACC